CCCGTCCTGCCTGGGCCGCCCCCGCCCCCCTTCCCTCGTCCAGCTGCTCGGGGCGTTGTGGGTGACAAAGATCCCTTTCTCCCGTCTTTCGCTGCCCCCCCCCCCCCAAAAGTCGTGCCTAGAAAGTTGTCCCCCTTCCACGCCTCTGTTAGCCCTTGAGCTGATGGAGGGGCAGGACCCCTTCCCTGCCTGCCTGCCTGCCTGCCTTTCCCCCTCCGGATTCTGGCTGGGACCCCCGCCCCGCCTCCCCGCCCCCTTGTCAGCTGCGCAGACCCCCTCCCTTCCCCCCTTCCCCCTCCTGCTGTTTCTTCCCCCTTATCAATTATGTAGGGTGTGGTGTGGGTGGGGAGTTATTCCACTGTAAATGGGGCTCCTTTGAAGGCCCTGCTTCCTCCGCCAGCCACTTCCTCTCCCGGCCGGCCAGTGATCAATCTCCCCTCCTCTCAATGGTGTTTTGAATATTTTATAACGCACTCCCCCTTCTGCTTGAAAGGCTGGAAGGATCAATAAAAAATCCTCCATACAAATGCAAGGGGACTTATATTGTTATGGGAAACTTGGCTGGGAAAGGGAAGAGAAGCATCATTTAACCTCCCCCCAACCAAAACGACCACCATCATGACCCCCCAAAGAAAAGATCCTTTCTTCTCTTCTCTTTCTCTCCCACCTTTCAAAATGTGTTTTAAAACCTCTTGTGGCTTGTCTTGCAACCCAGATGAGGTCTTGCTTTTTAAATCCCGAAATCTGTTCTCTGATCTTGTCCCTGCGAAGTAACTCCTCTCAAACTTGATTTTGAAGAGGACATCAAGATTGTAGCTTTCTCTTTCTCACTCATTTCTGCTTATCTATCCAAAATCCCCGAAGTTTAAGATAGTGCCAAAACTTGTTGAGCTTCATCCATTTCTGCAGGGTTGCCTGTTTCCAGGGACAGCCGTGATCCAAAATACTCAGTATGCTCTTTCCAAATTATTATTTTTTTTGATATGTGAGACGGTACAATCGAAAAGGATCTGGTCTTTTTGCTGATTTGGAACGGGTGCAAAATGGTAATGATTGCTAGCCAAAATGGGTGGGGAGAGGCTGCATTTGGTACCGCTAAGAGCGACTTCGGTTCCCAGGCATGGTTTTTGGCTCTTGCGGCAGAACCGGGCTGTGGTGGTTACTTGTGCCTGCAATTTTCCCTCCTGGCTTTTAATTGCGCTTACAGTGCAGCCCTGTGTATCTTTGTTGTATGGAAGTCAGTTTCATAGTGTCTGATGGGACTTTCGAAGTTGTGGATTGCAGCCTGAATACTGCTGTAAAACTGCCTAAAAGGGCTCCATTGTAAGTTCTTCCGTATGCCAGTCGCCTTTGCAGCTTGTTCTGCAGTTGAACTATGCCTTAGTTATACCCGGCATCTTTCAATTCTGTCTTTGAAAGACTGGCAATCTTATTATTTCATGCTAGAGTTATTGTGTGTTGCAAGCTGCCCTACTTCAATTTATGGAGGATCACAAATGCTTAGAATAACCCTCACTGGTGCTTTTTTAACTGTCAAGGCATGAACTAAAATCGTGCATTTCTGGTTAAGATGGACTCTTACAGCTCCAGGATTGGACTTCCTGATTCTTGTTGTTCACTGCACTGTCAGTCTCCCAGTTCGCTATTGCAAAGCAATATTTCCATCTCCGGATACCATGAGAAATGGCCCTGCTCTGCTCCTAAATGCATTTGTTTGATTGCCTGTGCTTGTTGGAGCCGAGTCCCTTGTCCAAGAACAAGGCTGCCTTTTTAACCAGGCCTTTCCTAACAAGCGCAGTCTTCGGGGTCGGCATTTGGAAGTGTTTTGTAAAGATGATGTAACCACGTATTTGTTCTCCTGCTTGCCATAAAATGTGAAATAGTTGCAAAGTATTGGGACATGCACGGCCCGACCTTCAGTCTTTCTAAAATCTTTATGGCAGGAGGGGGAGAGATCGACTTGGCATACAGAAATACAGCGACATTCGATAAAGGTGTTCGGCTGGGCCAGGGCGGAAATTGTTCGTGGCCTCAAATGCCAACATCTAAGTCCAAACCCTCGACTGTAGCCATTCATCGAAAAGACCCAGTCAAGGTTCTCTGTGTAAGACGGCTTATGTCTTCTCATCCGTTGCCCTGCCACGCTCTGCCTTGGCGCACCAACCTGGTCCTGTGCTCGCTCTCAGGCATATGTCACCCTCGTGCTGAGCTCTGTTGTCGTAGCTTTGCTGCTTTCCAGACTTGCTCTGGCCCACACGGGTGGGCAGGCTGGCTGGAAGCCTTTCACTCGTCACAGAAGCAGGGTGCATGCGCCAGTTTGCAAGTCGCGTGTTCCTCACAAGACCTGTTCTCGGTTTCATACATGCCTCCTTGCTTGTGGCTACCTCACACCAACACTGTAAGGTTAAACGCCACTGTGGTGTTTGCGAAGAGAAGGCAACAGCCAACCTTGTGTCCCCCGTTTTTGGAGGTGCATTTCGTGATCGATTGCTCTGAATGGCCTCTTTTTTAAAAGACATGCTTGAGCACAGAGAGTTGGGGAGGGCTGGGCTCAGATTGGGGGGTACCTTATCTTTATAATTACTGTTTTAGGCTGTAGCATATGTGTTAAAAAGTGCGTAAGGAACATGGCATCCAGGATAGGTATCTGCAAGAATAATTGGATGGCTGGAAGTGATGCCTCTTTTCATGTTTTAGGGAGATTAAACCAATTAGCTTGGTTGTATTTTGTTTTGCTCTACAGAAACTGAGCAATAGCTCTGGCCATTTCATGCTCTGACATAGCTGCCTTCCCTTTTGCAAGCAGATAGCTTTTGCAATCCAGGTAGCTTTGAACGGTCAACACGGTTAGGAAAAAGGCAATTCAGAGTGCGTGTTTTAGAACTTGCTGTTCCAAACCTGTCTGAAGCGGCCATCTCAGGTTCTCCAGAGCAGCGATGAGCAACTTGTGACCGTCTAGATGTCTTGACTACAGCTCCCATCAACCCTACTCAGCACAGACAATAGTGAGGGATCATGGGGATTGTAGGCCGAAACACCTGGAGTGCCACAGATGGCCCCTGTTTAGAGCACTGGGGCAGTTCCCCCGCCCCAAATTGACTCTCATGATATTTGCGTGTTGCGAATCACAGGATTGTAACTGTGCTGGTGACGAGTTACCTTCTTTTTCTGATGCAGGTGCCCAAAGACCTTCCATTTTTGTAGTGAATCCGGGCTGAACTTCTCTTTTCAGAGCTTAAATCTGTTAATGGCTCTCTGGGAAGACTTTATACCTTCCACACAATTAAGGAATGCTAATGAGTGACACTAACCCTTTGTATTTAAGCTTTAGTAGCTAATGTTTGAGCATATAATCAGGCCACAATCCAGCTGAGCTGACACAAGGGTCATCAGTCCCGTTGAAGAGCTAAACATGTCCTTTGCAGCACATCTGGGTGGCCAGCGTCCTCGGGTCACGTTACTGCGACCATCCAGATGTGGTTGGACTACAGCTTCTATCTGCCATAACCGACATGGCTGTTGGTTAGAGTTGTTGGGAGCTGCAGTCTGAGAAACGAATCTTCCCCCTCAGTGGAACAGTCACTGCGAAGATTACGGGCTCGTTAGCATTTTTCTGAGAACCTCTTTATGGGGTGTCTCACCATGGGGTTCTAGACGTGTGCACCCCACGGCAAGCACGGGTGGGGTGCCAGCCCAGGGCAGGTGCGGAAGGAAAGGGGGCAGGCTCGCTGCCACGCCGAAGTACACCGGCTGCCTCTTCTCCACCTTTGCTGCTAAATGTGGAGACCGAGTCTTCACCCCCCCCCACCCGCCAAGTAGCAGCAAGGGGCATCTGTTGTACCCAGGAAGGCCGGGGGACTCATCCCTCCGTTCAGGCAAGCACCCAGTTGGCAGAGGCTGGGGACTTCACTCCCGCTGTTGCCGCTGTTGGCCCAGCTGTCGTGGGCGCTTGTGGAGATCGCACCCCACATGCAGGGGCAAAGAGAGCAGCCGCTACCCTATATCAGAGTTCCAGTGCAACAGAAGGAAGCCGGCATTTGGAATCGCAGCCTTTGCTTTCTCTCCTGCATCTTGGGAAGTGTGGATCGTGTCATGGGCATTCAGAAGTCTCCTCTCCTCTCCTCTCCTCTGCATCCATCTTCCAGCTGCTTCTTGCTCTCTTTGTTCCACACAGACGACTCTCCCGTGGGTGCAGGATTTATCCCGCTTTGCACAGACTGCCCGGGAGCCCCGCCGCACGTTCTGCAGCAGAGACCGGGCAACTTTCCCCAGGCGGGCCCCTCTGCCTTTGCCAGCCGCACAACAGATGAAGGTGCTCCCACTGTGGAGTGTAATCTGAAAGATGCGGTCCTTGTTGCCGTCTTGCCAGCTGTCTTGTTGCCCGAAGCACAGGAGCCCTGCTGGGCAGACGGGTTGGCAGCCCTGCCAGCTCATCTCTCTCAAGATCTCCGGCACAGATGCTGATCAATCAAAGCACTGGCATCTCCGCACCAGGTGTTTTTCTGGTGCTAGGGAATGGAAGAGTAGAAATTCTTGTGGTACCTGAATTCCATTGGGGCAGGCGGGGAGCCCCAAATGCTTTCTGCAGGCCCCCTTGCACCGGGAACTACGTGACTGCCGTACCTTGTGGGTTCGGCTACTAGAAACGCTGCAGAAAGGGAGTCTCGGCCTTGCCTGAGGGATGCCTGCGGACTTGAGAGCGGCCAGGCCGTGGCTTCCATGCCGGTGGAGCTTCTGGGCTGTTGGGGTCTGTGGCCTCGGGCAAGTTGTAGTGCCCAGGTGTGTGCTGAGGGGGCAGCTGCTGGCCCAGCTCTCAGCTGACGGCCATTCGGGGTGTCCCCGGTGTGGACATGTATGCTTTTTGGCTGTTCTGCTGGTGCATTGCCCTGTCTCCCCCTTCAGCCAGCATAGCTGGGATGGAGCACGCATGAGCAGAAGTGTTTCAGGATCCGGAAGGTCTCTGCAGCAGGCAGCCGAGAACTTTCCCAGTTTGACCATGGCGATAAAAACTTGCCTCTAAGTTAAGCAGCTGAAATGACGGGAACTTGGAGCAGCCAGAAATGGAAGGTGAATTCTGCCTTAACCGGAAATGCATTTCTGTGCGTGTGAACAGACCAGGGGTTGTTTGCTTACAAATGCTGGCTTGCTTGGGAGCAAGAAGCCAGGATCCTGGGCAATGCATGCAGAAAACCAGTTCAGGCTGGCTTAGTTATGCATGGTGGTGGGAGAACCAGGTCGGGAGCAAAAGACTTGGTAAGCATTGAGATTTGCCATCGGGGTGCGTTCGCCAGCAGTCCGGGTTGGCTTGTCTGTGAGGCGGCTGCGGGAGGTGGGGGGTATCTGAAACGAGCAGGCATCATACAGACAGCCGGTATGGAAAGTTTTTAGTTCGGTTTTTCTTCCTTGGGGCAAAATGTATGTTTAGTACTTAGGCTGTGATCCGGACAAGTTGACTAAGTTGCACTTCTCAGTTTACACCACCTGCTGTTTTGTTTTTCCTTGTTTGTCTTTTGCAGCGTGTTGGTTGGAAAAACAAAACACCAGCAACTGAAGCACTAAGGAGAACCCAGCGTGGCACAGGACATCCAATCCCAGATGTTTAGAAAACAAGAGGAAGTGCTCATCTTTGATTTGGGTTCCTCCTGTACTGAAAAAGGCATTAATTAGCTCTCGTTCATGAAATGCAAGAATGCATTTTTGAGGGGCCTTAGTGATCCCTGATAAATGGCTTGGGAGCTTCCCGTCTTGTGTATCTTTCTAAACCTCTTTGCGGGGTTGGAAGCAAGGAATGGTTGGGAGGTAGATTGGTTTGTTCAGGAAAAGAGGGCAAAAATGGGTTTTCAGCCCTGTGTACATATTTGTGCCTTGCTTCGCTCTGTGTTCAGTGGGAGATGTTTTTTAAAGCTACTTTCCAAGAGTGTCCACAGCAGAACTGATCTTGCTGATAAAGGCTTTCAGAAGCTTAATTGTTAATTTTAATTAGCATCCATTTG